AACAAGGTTGTGTGTTTTTGAAAAAATATAAACTGCAATATCTTAAATCTTCAGCTGGAGAAGAAAGTGTATGATAAAATCTGTTAAAGCTTTTTTTTTTCCGAATTTATGATAATTTTGTAACAAAATGATAAATTGTTCAGTGTAATAAACCCCTGTGAGTGCACAGCAATGTCAGATCAAGACTGGCATTTTGCCAGTTTAAATTACATGTAAAATGAGTATACATAAAAGAGAAGTGTCAAAGTAGGGGTTGTACTCACGGGGAGGAAGATAAAAATACAGGAGGCAAGTACAGGGATTTTTCACACAAATGTGGTACCCTTGAGTGCTTTCATGAGACTGATTTAGTGAGGAGTTTTTTGTGTGTTCTTTTTAAGCAATAGCTTAGCAGTATAGTAATGGTCCAAAATGTGCTTTTGCACAGCAAGCCAGAATAACAATAAAGTGAAACTCTGCTTTGGACAGGAGGACCTCTTATTTAAACTGTTGGATATAGGGTTAGTATCCCAGTTGGAAAGGCAGACAGTCATGGATAGAAAAAAATTGCTCTTTTTATTTCATGTAATAGATATGGAAGTGACTATAAATAACATATTACTCTCATCCAGTCTTAATAAAAGGTTGGCAAACAATGTAATGTAAGTACCAATAAAAAGTATTCTTTCTGAATGCTTTTCTTTTGAGAATAGAGAAATCAGTGACTTGAGTGGTAAGGACTTCTAACTTTAGAATAATTTTAGTGTCTCTGGAGACAGCAACTTGCTCCAATGTACAATGAAAACACAAATGGTCATTCAAAAGCACTAGCAGTGAAAATTCTTGGTTTTATTAACTTTTGGTAACAATGCTATCACATTTAGAAATTCATACAAAAAGATTCTTGATGTTAGATCAGTTCTTAGTATAAATTAGTACATGTTTGATTGTTGCATTAAATATCCTTATGGGAATATATATTTTTTGGTTAATAAAGTCAAAAAGGTGTTGACTTTGTTCCTAATTAGATACAAATTCCTTTGAAGATCAGCATGTTTATCCTTTTTAAACTTTTTTTTTAAATCGTTTGAAACTTTTAAAGAAACAATTGCTATGGCAGAGACAACAATTACTTTTTCTCACTTTAGATTCAAATTTTGTGTCATCTTTCCCTTAGGAAAAGTTTTTAACTATGTTATTATTTTTCAGTAAAAGAAGGGTAGCGCTTTCAGAGTAAAGAATGACAAGTTCATAGAGATTACTGCAGAGCACCTGATATACTGTCAGATCACATCCCAGCTGATGCCTCTGGTCCTTTACTTGCCTGTCTGTATGCATTTCAGTAGAGGCCCAAGATGTACCTCTATTAATGTTAAATGTTCAAGCATATGCCATGCCATTATTCTTTGTACTGCCATGACAAGTCCTGTTCTTGGGCTGCAGGGTAATGATATGGTGATCATGGAGTTAGCTCAAGTGGTATCTGTAGTTAATGCAGATTGCCTACTGCAGCTGGATTTAGGAGCTTCCACAATGTCCCAGAAGACAGATTTGAAGAACTGCTGCTTTCTAGATCCACTTACCACTCATGGTGTGAATTGCTTGCCTCTACGTCCTGTTGAATTCATGTAGAATTGAATATCCCAGTTATCCTAATACCTTCATACGTGATTTATGAGTTACAGCTTTAAATATGTGTAATGTGGAAAAATTTAGCTCATGAATGTTACCTGGATGTTGGTAAATGTTGGTTTTGCTTGAGGATGTGTTAAATCTTTCCTTCCTGGTTGCCTGAGGGGATATTATCTGCCTCTGTTACACAATAAGTACTTTAGATCCTAAACAAAGTAAAAGTTTCCAAAAATTGGGAAGATGCTCACAGCATATCTGTGACAGGAAGGCTGAAAGTTTTCCCTGTTTCAGCTGCAGACTGAGAAGGCTGTTAGGAGAGTAAGAGTTTTGGATCTGAGAAGCTGCTGAAGCTGTGTTTGGAAGCCTCTCTGCATCTCCACATTGTGGTCTCTCACATGCAGAGAACCTCTGTCTGTAAGGCAGCTGTGAATGTTGTTTTCAGACTGTGCATTCAGAGAGGAACTTTGAGGCCAGAACATAGATGTTATGCACAGACTCCTTTTCAGTCTGCTTGAAACTGCACTCTCCTGATCTTGTTAATTTTTTTTTTTTTTTGCACATAGGTTGTCTCTTTGCCTTACTTTGATTTCTGTGAAGGGTGATTTCCATGTAATTAGCAAATACTTGGTAATTTCCATGGAAGCAGAAAGATGATGGGGCAAGTGTTTGAGTGTAGAGGGTCTTGTTGAATTTTACTGGGGGTTATTGACTGTTTGATTAAAGCCAGATCAAAGTGCTGGAAGAGATTGACTTGAATATGTGCTATCCCTGAGAGTCAATTTCTCTTCTTTGTCAATATTTCACCTTCCCAGACTGGGTGCTGCAGTTGCTTCAGGAGAAACATGAACCAAAACTCAATAATGGCACGTGTGTGTTTGAGACATTTTATATCACTTCATTTCACAATTATTAAAGCAGCAGAATTGGAAATCTAATTGGCTGAAGGTTTTAAATACATTTAAGCTTTGTTAAGTTTCAGGAATTTCATGTATATTTTCTTCTGTTCAAAATAAAGAGAGAACTGACTTGCTTGTTAGGCTACTATGAGTTGTGGTGCTAAGGGAAGCTGGTAATGTTACAGCCAAAATTGGTATTGATGTAAAAACATTGTGTCTTATATTTATGTGAAAGTAAATAATCGTATTTGTACCCATAAATACACACAATATAATGCTCTCTCCTTGATTAGTGCTTTATAAGATCCTGTTCTTATGTGACAGTGTCCTGCAAACTGCTATAGTAATTGATGTAAATTTGTAAACTTTAAAAGCTATGAATATATCTTTTAATTTGCCACTTAAACTGATGCAATCCCAGCACACTTTTGCATTAATGTATACAGATTAGAACTGTTTGTAGTTATCATGTTTTCTATTGGCTATTTGTGATCAACTGAGGTATATTTTTATAGTGTTAATATGTTGTCTCTTTTACACATATAATGCAGTATTTTGTAGGGTACATGTGGTGTAATTGGTTTTTAACTGTAAATATTTTTAACTGAGATTCAGAATAGAAACCATAGCATCATGCAGATGATCATACAAATTTCTGTATCTCATGGAGAAGAATGCTTATATTCAGCAGTTTCTTTGTTTTACTTTTTTTTTTTAAATATATAGTATTTTATATAAAGCCAGCACGGAAAAAACTGAGAGCCATTATATTGGAAAATTTTTGTGCGAAGTGCATGGTGTTTGTGAATGCCGCTACTATGAGCAGGCTTAATATTTCTTGGAATCAGAATGAGTTTGTCACTCCTCGCAAGACAGAAATCAATTGCCATTAGTAATTGTGATTAGTTTTCATTTAAAGATGATTGAATTTGGACTGTGACAAATCCTTCATATTAATTAGTAGAAACAAAGTGTTATGACAAGAAGTTCAACACATTAAGTTAATATCATTAAAATAAATAAGAGCTGGATTTGACATGCCTTATTTTAGTTATGCAAAATATATATGTTCATGTTGCTTTGTGTTTATTTGAGCATGTTGTATTGTTAATCAGGCACTGTGAATATTATTGACTTCATTTTTAAAGTAGAAAACTGTGTTCAGAAAAATCTAAATAAATCTCCAGAACACTCCAGGCAGGTGTTTAGTCTTCCTATATTGTTTTGGGAAATCAAATTTTTTAAAAAAACAACCAAACGAAAACCCCTCAGCTTTGCATTTCTCATTTAGCTATTTTGAGAAATATGTATGTCAAATCTTAATTTAAATATTTAATTGTGAATTTATCCAGTCACCTTAGCCTGACTTTCTGTGAAACCTTGTTGGAATAATGTTTTGATGGAGAGGGAATATTAACACTTGGTAAAACTTCATGTACTATCATTTTCATATTTCCGATGACACTGTTTCTTTGCTTCTCTAATCTGTTTTATGAGGTGACAGCACGCATCTTTAAATAGTAGTATCAGAGGAAAAATAGTAATGTGTAGTGTGGAAAGTGCACAGAAATGCAAAGCTAAAATAAAAGGGGAAGTATGCTTTCAAATTTGCAGAACAGTATTTTCCAGCAATTTGCATCCAGTCATTTGGGAAAACCTGTTGCATTTATTTTGATTTGTTTAATTCTTTCTGGAGTCTTATAGTGTATTAATGAAATTTAAAAACTGGAAAAGCACAATGTATAATAGATCTTTCTTGTTTTGTACACAAAGCTTTCAGAAGTCATGGTCTTGAAATGCAAAGTGTTTCCAGTTTGGCTTGATTTCTGTTAGGGAGCACGGCGTGAGTGATTTCTGCAGGGGAGTGTTTGTGGGCTCTGGAGCGGGAGTTGCTGTTCCCTTGGGCCGTGGGTGATGCCCGGGCTGGGCTGGGCTGGGCAGCCCTGGCCCTGCTGGCGGAGTGGGAGAGCGAGGGGATGATGCTGCTGCTCTGCCAAGTCATACTTGGGGGAAAGGGAGAGAGGAGCTGGTGCTGTGCTCTGTGTGGCATGCTGGGAAGAGCAGAAAGTGTTGTTAGCAAGTCACCTTTGCGGCATTGCCACGGGGTCATTTGTATAGGACGTTTGGGAGCCAAAATCCAGGGGGAAGATGGGTTTCATTTTTATACTTGTAATTTGAAACTGTCTAGAGACTGTAACAGTGTTTATGCTTACTAGTGATTTTTTTTTTTTCATTCATAAGACTGGAAAGTAATACAATGAGAATCATGATTCCTAAAAATTCTGAATATAACCCTTCCTGTGGAATTCTAGAAAGGAATTCCAGCAACTACAAAAATTTGTCTTCTGCATTAACTCTGCTGGCAGAAACCACTGCAAATGCATTTCTTTATCTGAGACTATACCTTTTTATTTATCTACAATATTTTTTTATTTCTTTACAGATATTGATGAATGATATAGCATCTAAACTACTTGTTTTCTTTTCTTCCAGGCTGCTGAATCAGGAATAATAAAAGTGAAAACAATAGCTGCACGAAACACAGATATTTTGGCAGGTAATTATTTGCTGTGCAGTAGGAAGAATAAAGCTGAGTTACAGATCAAAATGTTAAAAAGATGTCTTGGATGTGTCTAATAATGCTACATGTCCTTTAGTGTGTGCTGTATTGTTGATGCTTTACTTTTGGGCACTTAGCAAAAATTCCACTGTAGAAATTTTTTAACACTACTTGTTTCTTGTTAGTGCTATTAGGATGCTCAGGAAGGGCTCCATTTTCAGTTGATGCTCTACAAAAGTAATCATCCACTTAGAAAAGTACTATGAAATACTCAGGCCCTACATTCTCAGTGTTTTAGCTGTTGTGGTTGAGTGCTCTGTGTGGAGTTCTGCAGTGTGATCCACATCTATGTATTAGTCCAGCCTTTGGGACTTGTAACTGGCAGGCAAAAATCCATCTTTATCTGAGACAAGGTCATTCAACTTAAGATGTTCCAATGCCTTAAGAGATGGGACATACCTTGTGAGATGCAGATTGTAAGTGCTTAAACAATATCTCCTGACTGTCTTCAGCTTTATAAAGTTGGCTTCTTGTCAGTTGCTGGTAAAGCCCTTGGCCAGATTTGAGTGTCCCTGCATCAATACTTGAGTGTCTACCCCAGATGTAGTCAAAATCCTTGAAATGCTAGATTGGTTGGCAAGTCCAGTGAAATAGCTGCAAAACCATATCTACTTTTGAGATATGTAAATCAGGTATTGTTAAGGAGGCATTTTCTAGGATTATTTGTATTAACAGATCCACTCCTCAGTATTTCACTTTAATGCCTCTTTTTTATTTGTTTATTTTCTTTGTTTTTACTGCTGTCATGTATGCTGACATAAGTGGGAAAAGTTTGCCAGGTAATGTCAGCTATATCAAAATACACAAATGAAAAAGGGAAAGCAGTATTTAGCCATTTTGGAAGCTGTCAACATATTACTGCATAAAGAAGTTTTTATTTTAGAAAGCTAGTTTCTAATCCTGCAAAGTTCTCTGTTTTTTAGTTTTCAAAGGGAAGAGATAGGATAGATCTTTAAATTTAGCCATGGATGGGCAGTCTTTGCTTTCACCTTTTTGAGGGAACACTTTCTCTTACTTGGTAAAATTTTTAAAATTATTTACTCTTGGAAAGTTCAAACTGGAATGTACTTAGTATTTATTTCATTCAAAAAACCTGCACAGATTTGTTGTTAAGAGGTTTGGGAACCAGCAGGTCCTAGAAGTTATTTTGATTAGTTAATCTTTGCTAATAGGATAACAACTTTTGCTTCCTCTGTTCCATAGTTTTGTACTGGGAAAATGTACTTTGCCTGCACATTATTGTATCATTCCACAGTTAAAGCCTAATGTCACTAAACAGACTCAATTCTTTATGAACTTTTGTGTTTTTTGAGGTATCAATTAAAAGCTAATCTTATACATAAGCTAGTGTCAAGAGATTGTCTATCTAATATTTAAAGTCTTCTGAAGAAAAATTATGTATATCACTCTGTAATAATAAAGCTGCAAAAAGCTACAATGTAATTGTGGAATCTAGTGGATACATTTTGACTGCTAGATTATTTAGGAGTATCTACAAGACATTCTAGTAATACAAATAAATACTTTGATCAGGATATGATTTTTTTAATATCTTGATGTAAACTGTCATTTCACTAACATAGATAAGAACAAATGTATCAGATTGTTTTGAATAAGCTGATCTGGTGCTTTCTTGAAGCATTTCATTGTGTAGGATTATAATTTTTAGGAAAATAGATGCAGGCTTAAAATCTTTATTAAAATCTTAAAATCTTTGTTATTTTTGGTGGGATATGTTTAACCTGCCAGAACTTTGAGGTCATTAATCTAACTTCTCTCTTTCTCTTTGAGAAGTTAAGTTGAGCTGTTTCAAAGTCTTCATTCTTGGCAGTGTGTACATACTTTATTATTTATTTATAAGAATTTGAGAAATTCCAGATGAGGAGAAAGCCTTTTATCACAGGAGATAAATTTGAGAAATTATTTCCATGTGGCTTTGAGATGTGCAAAAACTTATGGTTTAGGAGTTCTTCTAAAAAATCAGAATTATAATCTTGCTGATGAAATGAACAGGTAAGTTATACTTCCCAAAACCTTCTCATTTGTTATGGTTCAGTAAGGTAGAATTCTTTTTAATATATTCTGCCATAAATTGGTAGCTAAATGGAGGCAGACCTGGCAATAACAAATTTATTGTGCATTTTAAGACTGAAGCTAATACAGCCACAGAAACACATGATCACAGAATATTCTGAGTTAGAAGGGATCATCAGCATTTAGCTCCAGATCCTCTGAACGGGGAACAACTCTGCCTGGTTGCTATAAAACCAGATAGGTACCAAAGGAGATCTACAAAACATTGATTTTTCAGATTCATTAACTAAAAATACTTATATAGATTCTGTTGTGAGATTGTTGCTTTTAATGGATTATAGAAGAATGTATTGTAAAAGACTAAATTTGTTCTTTGTCTTGTTATTTATTAACTTATGCATTTTAACCATTCAGAGCTGTATCTCAAGTTTCATATTAAGGATAAATGTTTTGTGGTATCTTTTTGCTTGCTTTTTTCTGCTTGATGGTTAGACTTTAGTGGTAGTTCAGAAATGTCAGCTGGACATAGAGCCTGCACTGGCTCTGAAGAGGCTGCTGAAACTGGACTGTGTGTTGATATCACCCTGTCAGAACTAATATCTTATAGAAAATTGGCATCCATAATTTATAATAGCCTATCCTTTTTGTAGAAACTTCTGAGTCAGTGTTTCAGTTGGAGAATATCACTGAAGTATTTTTTGTAGTTTTAACTTGTTTCATTTTTTTTCCAAATTAGTTGTAGTGATGCTTAGTAGTGTAGATCATGTTTGCATTTTTTATGTGAGAATGTATTTTTTGTTTGTGGTAACTGCTGTCCTCTGAAAAGCATGTGAAACTTTTCATGAATACATTTCTTTTATTACATATAGACTAAAACACAGTGTATGACATTCAGTGTAAGAACAGACATTGAACTTTCAACTGTGAGGAAATTTTTAGTATCTGAAATGGTGATGAGCAGCTAAAATCTTAGAAGTTTGCATGAATCAGCAAACATACCTGCAAATGGAAAACCACTCATCAGTCAGAGCCATGCTTTCCTTTCATATTTTTGGTATTTTCATATTCTAAAATTTTATTATGCCAGATTTCTTGAATTACTTTTATGGAAAAAAGACCTGTTTTATATGCAGTGTAGAATGTTGTATTCATTATGAAGCTTTTTCTCCTTAACAAAAAACAAAACAAAACAAAAAACCATAGGAAAAGAAAAGAGAGAAGTTTATGGGAACTAGTTTTCTCCTGGCAAAAGTCCATTTTAAGAAGCTAAAGAAGTTTTAGTATCACTAAAACAGCATTTGACAAATTCACAGCCAGGTGAACGTACCCAGGATACAGTCTAGTGTCTCTCTTGCTGTTTTGTCAGTGGTGGTTTGCCCTTCCCCTTCCTGCCCTGTGCTGTGGGATGTTGCTCCGTGCCAGACTGGGTTGCTCCTGCATTAGGTGCTGAGGAGGTGAAGCAGAGCAGAAGGACAGTGCTACCAGCCTGGGCCTGGTTCCTGGGGCAAGGCCAGGGAACGCTCTGGGGTTGGCAGAACCTTGCACCTTCTTGCTAACCACATGGGGTCTTAAATGGACGTTTTGGATTTGGAAAGTCACTTGACTGTATAAGGGAGAAGGTGCTTGGAATTTGAGTCTTGGCCAGGGTAATTGTGGAAGTGAGCTGTGTCAGTCTAGTGTCTGTCTTCACTTGGCTTTTCCCTGTGGTCCATGTGTAAATCCCAAATTTCCGAAACTAGAGGTTGCTTTTATTAATGGGTGTGGTTAACAGCTTTTGCATTGTACTTTTTGAAGTATTAAGCATTGACTGCTTCCGTATTTCTCTTTGAAAGCATTGAAAGAGAACAGTTCAGAGGTGGTTCAGCCTTTTCTGATGGGCTGTGGAACAAAAGAACCAAAGATCACTCAGCTGTGTCTAGCAGCCATACAGAGGCTCATGTCTCATGAAGTTGTTTCAGAGGTAAGATCGATCTTTATACAAAGCCAGAAATATTTCAGAGTGAAAAATATAGACCTCAAACGGAAGGTGAATGAATTGTTTTAGGAGGCTCTTTATATTATAATGAACATAGTCCACAAAATATTTTACTTATATCTATTTTTCAGTAATTTAAAAGAAAACCTTTTACATTACTAAATAAAAAGGTGAGGCAATATTAGTAACCTCTAGAAGGAAATCCATGAAAATTGAAACCAGCTCATTTAGTTCACATTGTTCTACTGCGGTAACTGAACATGTAATGAACCTTGTGCATCCACAAATATACTCTGTGCAATAACATTATTGTGCTTTTGTTACATTTTATTTTTAACAATAAGGTAAAATGGATGCACATTTTCTGCAGCAGTAAATGTCATGATAGTGTGTTAGGAAGCTGATGAAAATAATGTGGTTAAAATACACCTTCAGTTGTGCTTGCATAATGTAAAATTACACTAATTTTACATTAGTGAATTCTGAGGATAAAATATATTTTTACTGTGTCTTCCATATTTCCAAATAAAAAATTAAGTACAGGTTTTAATTTGTACTACATATTAAGACATTTCTGTTGTCACTTCTTCAAAGTGAGTTTGGGAAGCTTATGACAATGAAATTTGCCTTATAATGAATTCTCATTTTAGTGCTGTGGTATAGACAAACAGGCACATTCAGTTGTGATATGTCTTTATGACAGTGATATTCTTACATATGTACACAATATACCAGTACATGAATATTGTAATACGTGACAAAAAAATATTTCTTTGTAGGCTGCAGCCGGAAACATTATCAATATGCTTTGGCAGTTGATGGAGAACAGCCTTGAAGAACTTAAATTGCTCCAAACAGTTCTTGTACTTTTAACAACCAATACAGTTGTGCATGATGAAGCACTGTCCAAGGTAAGAATTTGTGGTATCAGCTATTGAATTTGAAATATCCAAGAGGAAAGATGGAGAATTTTCACATATGAAGCATATGAAAACAATGAACAAGGAGGGGACTTCCTTGATTCTGTTGTGTCCCTATTGTCGTTATGGCTAGACTCTGAAAACAGGATTTCTTTTAGCTTCCTTTTCCATGTGTTTTGTAATTCCTCCACAATAATGCATTTTGGACTTGATTGAAATTTGAAATAAAAACACTGAGCTAATGCCTATCCTTCTCATGTGTTAAATTTGTTGTAGTTTTGAATTGGAATCAGAGCACATAACACAGTGTACACTCTCACTAACAGAGAAAATGTTAAAAGAAGCTGCTTTCCACTCTGCCTTAAATCTCTTGAAAACCGTTCAGTTATTGCTCTTTTTTTGCCAACTTAAGGTCATAGTTTTAAACATGAAACATTTTGGATATTATGTCTCAACTAGGACAAAAAATAAGGCCTCAGTCCATTTAATTTAAATGTTAAGATACTTCTCTTTGAAGATGCAACATTGTTTACCATCAGTGAATTGTGGAACTTCTTTGTAAGTTTCTCTTCTAGATTACATTGTACAAAATTTGTTTCAGCCAGACACTTATTGCACATTCATGTTTCAGTCAAGTTGCTGTACTTGACATTTTAAACTAATGTGGTGATACCATCAGAGTGGAGCCCACAAATCATAGACATGAAGAAGAGGCAAAAGAAAATTCTGAATCTGGTATGGCTCACAGCATGTAATACTACAGCAGGGTTGAGGTTCTTGAAAGTGCCAGAACACAGTATATGGACAGAAGAACAAGAAACACAGGTTTCACTACATATGCAGATGTTAATTTTCAAAATTCATTATAAAACAGGTAAGTATTAAGCTATGAGTCGGAGGTAATTACAAAATCCAGTGGGAAAAGGTATTCAGGTCATTGCCAGCACAATGACACGTTGAACTGCACATCTTAGGAATAGTAGCAGTCAAGGCAACAAGATTATGAAAGTGTTGTGATTCAGTGTGGGAGGAGGAATGACATTTTAGCTTTGGATTTGACTGACCTTTCTGTGATTAACCTTACAATCCTAATGTTCTTTTGACATAATATTCATACAAGTTGTTCTGTGTGATGATTACTATGTATTCTCTGTATGATTACAGCAATTTTATTGGCACATTGTAATGTGTTCAGTTAAATGCCACTTTTTGATTGCCTTTGGGGAGGGTTACTAAAGAGTTTTTTGGCTAGAGTAATCCATAAAATGTATTCTGGTTCTTCAAATTTAATTTTTTTTTCTTTTTTTTTTGGACAACCTTTTGACAAACTGTAGAGGAAGCCTTCCACAATCCATCAGCCTTGACTCTTAGCTGAAAGATGAAATGTATTATTGTAACATGATGTTTTTTCTGTTGTTTTTTTTCCTTTCAGGCTATTGTACTTTGCTTTCGATTGCACTTCACAAAAGATAATATCACAAATAACACTGCAGCAGCTACAGTGCGGCAGGTGGTGACTGTCGTGTTTGAGAGAGTGGTTGCTGAAGATGAGCGATACAAAGGTGGGCATGCTGCTTACTCAGCTTGCTGTTATTTACCTGCTTTTTTGACACATATCAGATGTTTCTCTTTCAGATAACAAAGTAATAAAATGTCTATAGATGCTATAAAAAAGTCACAGACATCATTAATTTTAACTGTCTTTTATACACTTATTTGTATTTAAAGGAGATGAAATCTTTCAGCAATTTGTCAGTCCAATTCAGTGCAGCAATATATAAAACCTAGATTTTGTTTTTTTCAAGCTGTGAGAACTGGTCTTCAGGTTAGTACTGTAAAGGGATTTGAGGTGAGGACATCATTTATGGTGTAGGTACAATAGATTACTGAGTGGGAAATATATGGTAGTAGTAGTTTTGAGGAGAGCATTGGAAAGCAGTGCTTGGTATTGATGATCTTTGGTAGTCAATCTAATGTTTGTTTCTATAGACATGATAAGTTGGAGAAGAATTGCCTGGCCATTCTTATAGGATATTCCTGTAGGAACACTTAATGCATACTTGGTTTTTAACAGCTCCTTTGTTCACAAAACTTTGTTTTGTTTTGTTTTTTTTTTTTTTTTTGCACAGATGCTGTTGACCAGCCAGCTGCAGTTCAAGGGAATAGTAATAGAAGATCTGTCAGTACACTGAAGCCATGTGCTAAGGATGCATATATGCTTTTTCAGGTAGTTGGGGAGTATATTTATGTATTTGCAGTTAAGATTGGGTACTTCTACGTCTCTTTAAAAATTTTCAAGAATTTGCTGTTTTTGCAGATTTGCGTATTGACAATGTCCTTAACCAGAGCCTTGGGCTTTCTTATGCTATTTATTCTAATTGGTGATGATATGCTCTATCACAGGGGAATGATGGAAAAATGATTCCAAGTGGCCTTGGAAAATGTTCTACTATAAGTCTTAAACAATAGCTAAGCATACATGTCTGCCTTAAATTCAAGATTCTTATTTCTCTGAGCCTGTGGTGGGTTTACCCTGACTGGACTCTCAAATGCCCACCAAGCTACTCTACCACTCCCTGTCCCAGCTGGATGGGGAGAGAAAATAAGATGGAAAACAATAGGTTGAGATAAGGAAGTTTGTTAAGGCAAAAGCAAAAGTTTGCATGTGTATGAGCAAAGTGCATCAGCAAGCAATGTTCAGCCACTTCCTGGGAGCTTCAGAATATATGGTGGTTGCTCCAAAAGGCAAACATTGTAATGATTGCCTCCCTTTCTCTCCCATTTCTTAGGTTCTATAACTGAGGTATGAAATATCTTTTTGGTTAATTTGGGGTGACATTTTTTGTCTTCTCACAGGATCTTGCTCAGCCCCTTAGTTGTAGTGGGGGGAAATCTTGAGAGGCAGCACTGAGGCTGTGCCATTGCTATTCAGATGTAGCCGAAGCAGTGGTGTGTTAGCAGCACCTTTCTAGCTACCAATGCAAAGCTCAGCACTGTAAGGGCTGCTGTGAAGAAAATTAACTCCCTCTCAGCCAGACCCAATACAGAGCAAAATGCTGCAACTGTAGTTCAGTCCTGTGTCTTGTGGTTGATATTGGACATTGAAGGCAAGTGTGTAATGAAAAGGAGTAGTTGCATTCATCACAACAATAAAAATCTTCTTGACTTAGCAAAATCACTGGTCTTGGGATATTTTTGAGGGTAGGAATAAATACATATACTGCAAGGATACCAGCAAAGTTTGAAATGTCTTTTCTATGCTTTATAATTTATGTTAAGAAAGTATTTAAAGAAAAATTATGTTGAAGTCAGAAAATTACCTGCAGAAGAGGAGAGCATGTAGGTTCCATTATGAACTCGGGGAAACTTTCTTGGTACAGTACTGTACAGAGAATGTTAATGTTACTGTGTTTCTTTCTAAGGATCTGTGTCAGTTAGTTAATGCTGATGCTCCCTACTGGCTCGTGGGTATGACAGAAATGACACGGACATTTGGCCTTGAACTTCTGGAGTCGGTCCTCAACGACTTTCCACAAGTGTTTTTACAAGTGAGTAGTTTTTGGACAGAAAACAGGAAGACTTTTACTCACATAGGTAGTAAAATATACACTTCATTAAATCCTCTTTAATTTAACAAGAATATTGTTTTCTTGAAGGACTTGTAGCTTTTACATATTGGTGTGGGGGGGGGTTAACAGAAAAATTCCCTGTGCTTTATGAATGTTTTTCTATTCCCAAACACTTTATCTATGTTTATTCATTTTGTAATGCTGCTTGTTTTACTCTGTTTCACTTTTGGTTTTGCTGTTTATATCTCCTCTGAAAATGCATTTTCTTATCTTGCCTGATTTATGACAGCTCTGTAACTAAATTTGTGGAATTGTTATTTCTACAAAAACATTAAGCTCACTCCACTTGTAAAGTAAGAGTCAAGACTGTGAATTGCATCTATCTACTGAATATAAATGCACCATGATCCTGCAGTAATGTGTTTTACTAGCTGACAATCGGTAGATTAAAGAAATTTATCTATTTGTAAGTGATATATTAGCATCCTATTTCAACCTGCAAAATACAAGAAGGGTGCATGGCATGAACCTTGTCATTTCATGGGTTTTTGTAGCTTTACAATGATGTCTGCAGTTCTGCCTTTTCTTTTCCTGATTGTAGTTTGTACCAAGATTTGCATGATTTCAGACTGCTTGATCATAACTACAAATGTAAATAAGATGCATAATCAGAGCTGCTGGTAGCAATTAAGGAATATCTGCATATAACTTTTTCTATTTTCTTTTTCAGCATCAGGAATTCAGTTTTCTTCTTAAAGAGAGGGTATGCCCTCTTGTTATAAAGCTCTTCTCCCCAAATATCAAATTCAGGCAAGGTTCCACCACCTCATCTTCCCCAGCACCAGTGGAAAAACCATATTTTCCCATCTGTATGCGTTTGCTGCGAGTAGTTTCTGTTTTGATTAAACAGTTTTACAGCTTGCTGGTAAGAATATGCTCAAATTTTCTTCATGCAATCCTGTTTTTCTATGTATATACCAGTGCTGTGATCAGTAGTAGTAATGATTAGTTCTTGGTAACTGTTGATGTATACTGAGGGAAGAAAAGGCGAAATGCTCTTTTCCTCATACGTTTATTTATTTTTACATGTAAACTGTACATTCTAAATGTACATTTTTGTTAAACATGGACTTGTATGAATTTCATAGTGGATTACTTGTCATCTTTTCTCTATTTAACTGCCTTTCAGGTTCTGGGGACCTTTCGATTGTTCTGCCTCGCTTTAGATAATGATGATTACTGTGCCTTGTTAATTCTTTCTAAGAGGCTTTTGACTTGAGTTGCTAAAGCTGTTGACAGAATGTGGATAAAAACACATGTTCAGTTGTTCTTACGTCCTGAGTTTTGGGTATTTGCTAAAAAAGATATTTTTCATTTGTCTACTGTAGCAAATGTATGACCTTTATTGCAATGTCTGTGAGGAATTTAGCTCCTTCAGTACAATTGCATATGTGATTTTACCTTGTCAAAAATGTTATATTTTTATATAATTCTGAGTAAATACTCATTCCAGGGATTTTTTTAGGTTCTGTACAAAACTTGCTGTGACAAGATTCCTGAGATGGAAGTTCTTTTGAGAAAATATTTTGTAGGAGCTTTTTATTTTTATTGATTATTATAAATTTATATATTTTAGGTAACAGAGTGTGAAATCTTTCTGTCATTGCTGGTTAAATTTCTGGATGCTGACAAACCACAGTGGCTACGAGCTGTTGCAGTAGAATCTATTCACAGGCTTTGTGTGCAGCCTCAGCTATTAAGGTATTAAATATATTGGCTTTTGCTTTTACACAAAGTTTAAGATATATTTTTATTATTTTTCTCTAATGGAAGATGCTTCCTAAAACATTGCAAATGTATAGAAACTTAAATGCAATAAGCTTTTCATGATAATTTTGTGTAATGCATTAGGTAATGCTTATTATCCAGAAAGGGCTGAATTACACAGACATATTTGAGTATGTCTGTGTCTTAGCAGTGTCAAAGGAGCATTTACCTAAAAAAAAAAAAATTATTGTTTACCTAAATAGTTGTTAAAATATTCTTTTAGTCCCTGATTTGTCAAATGCTTTCTGTTTTGTAAAATACCTTCTAGGTCTTTTTGTCAGTCGTATGATATGAAGCAACATTCCACTAAAGTTTTCCGTGATATTGTGAATGCACTGGGGTCCTTTATCCAGTCTCTATTTCTTGTACCAAGCACAGGGAACACATCAGCAACACCGAACCAAACTGGTAAATCTTTATTGTCACTTCATTATTGTCCCATCATTTTCTTGTAATAATGAATTCTGTTTTGATTCAGCTCTGGTACAGCTCTGTACTTCTGTGTTTATTTTTGTGAAAAGCTAGCTTGAGATGAACTAGTGTTCTCAGCTCTGGTACAACAGATGATTTTATCTACCTGGGGGGTTTGTGGGGAAGGCAGAGACCCCAGTCAGCAGAGCAGTGCTCCTGCCTTGATTCCTGTTTCCGCAGTGACCCAGGTTCTTGTTTCACAACTTTTCAGAGGGAGATTCCAAAGGAGTTAGTTCTGATTGACTATAAAAATGTGTCTGCTTTCAGTCTCCTTGTGTGGGGATGTAATTTATGGCAGTGCACAATTTAAGTAGTAAGAAGGTGTGTGTGGGAGGCAATCACTAATTCTTCTGGATGTGCAAGGCCAGAACTGGAGTTGAGGGAGCCAAGAGGCACCATGAAAGATGTGTATTTTACAAATGATCTCTGTCTTTTTTGTAAGCTGTAATCATACACATGTTGAAAAGACTTGATTGTCTTTTCTTGCAGTCAGGCTTTTGGCATTTCACTAGGTATATTTGTATTTTAATAAGAAGAAATGGTTATCCTGTTAATGCCCTTGCAAGCATTTATGTCCCAAGTTAAGGCTCTTTGCTTCTTCTTGTTGTTTTGGAAGCAGTCCTCACCCACAAGCAACATAAAAAAATTTCGTCAGGGTGTCTTTTGATATGCCTTCTTAAAAGAGATAAAAGCCAGATAATAAATGTAATTATTGTCTATCATATCTACTACTACTACTGGAAAAGTTTGGGTTTAGACTCACACCTTTTAGTGTTCACTCATGAAATTGGAATCCCATGCTGGAGGGAGCAGTGATAGCATGAGAAAATTTGTGTCAGTGTCTATTGTTCAGTAGCTGTCTATATAGCAGCTGATAGAGTATTTCTATTAGTATTATTTCTAGGTTAGCTTAATTGTCTTAAATTAAATCAGAGGAACACTTTTCACCATGTAACATGCACATATGAGAAGCCATTCTGTAATACTCATTCTGAAAACCTGAATTTTGCCTCAAGTGAAACAGCAGTGCAGTAGGGTCATGCCTCTAGTGCTGTTGCTATTTCTCTGGATAATTATTTCCAGTTTGTTTTCTCTTTTCTTTTTCACTTCTTCTTTCTGTCTGAATGCTTCTCATGTCACTTGCTCATTCATTTCTTTTTCTACCTTTTTTCCTCCTGTGGCCATATCTGACATGCAAAGAGCAGATCAATGCAATGTAATTCTCAAACTGAGTCTCTTGATTATAACAACAGTCCTCTCATAGAAGGCTGTGTTTTGGAATCGTAGAATAGCTTGTGTTGGAAGAGACCTTCAGGGTTATCTAGTTCCAGCCCCCTGTCCATGTGCAGGGATACCTTCCAACAGACTAAGTTGCTCGAAGCCTTATCCAATCTGGTTTTGGACATTTACACTCCTTATACACTTGATTTTTGAGCCTCAGTCTTGCAACGGGCTACCTGTTTCATAGGAGTTGGAAGCTGCATCTGCTGAAGTTCTGTGTCACTTTTATTATACTAGGCAATGTTTACCACCCACTTTAATGAGTTAGATTAATAAAAAAATAGTTGCATATGTCTGACTACACAATGGAATCATAGAAAATGACACCAGTGTAACTGTGTTTGGTTAACCATGTGTTTAGCAGCATGATTTTTTTGTTTCAGTCTGTTAAGCGTTACTGTGTACATAAGCTTCTGTGTATTCATATTGCCTAAGTTAGGAGTTTGCTGCCTAAATTAGTAGCTTACTGTTCACATATTAAAAGCAAGCCCACCAAAATGGCAGTGAGTTACACTGTGAGTTGCCGTCCTGGGGACTCTGCTCTCTCTCCCCATTGTCTCTTCAGAGAGAATCTGAACTCGTGGGACCTATTCTTAGTAAGTAGAGATGTCCTTCTCTATGAAGGAAGTGTATATATACAGACTTCCTTGTTCTTTTAGCTGCTTTTTTTTTGGCTTCCTCAGCTGGAATCAAAATTTGTCCCTTCCTAGCTGTTGGTTGGCACATTGTCACCTCTTCCCTGATGGGGTTTGTTTTATTTTGCCTTGGCATGGAACAGATTCAAATGCTGCCATTGTCTTAGATTTTCTTCTTGTGGTTTTTGCATTTCTGAAATCTTGGAAGCTTGTTATTAAAATGATTAAACTTTCTAGCTACTGACTTCTTGATACAACTGTGTAAATAATCCTTAACTTTCAAGTATCTAACTCTTCACTAAAACAATACATTGTTTCATCAAGACTGTGTAAGTTTGATTCATTCCCAGAATGTTATTAATGTTTCTGTACCTTTCACAGAAACATTACATTCTGACTGGACATTAGGCAGTTGGCATCAATGAACTGCACAAAAGATTATGTTTTAGACAGCAGAGGGAGCTCAGAAATAGTTTCTTATGTTATTGTTGATTTTTGTTATTGAACCGGGTGTCTTCAGATTAATCCTCGTGTCTCAAAAATTAAATGTAGAAAAAGGAAAAGGATGTTTGTTGATCACAACAAATTGGTTGATTTTCTCACATTGTTTTTGTGACAGGAAGCAATGCATCAGGGAATACTGGCTCAGCACAAACAAACCCAGGAGTGCTTGGAATGGGTGGAGGTGCGACTGTATTACCTGCCTTTGAGTACAGAGGCACTTGGATACCCATCCTGAATGTAACAGTACAAGGCAGTGCCAAAGCTACATAGTGAGTACCTCTAGCTTTTTGAAAATGTATGTAACAAGTATGGTTATTTTGAATTTGATGATGTAAGGATTTTTACTAGTGAATATTGAGGTTTTTGTTTCACTGGTGTTGAAGTCTATTAGGAATTTTCTCTTTGTTGGTGCCATGAGGTGTTCTGGTCTTTTTGCCGTTTTTTTCTGCATGCCCTGGATTCTCATTGGAATGTCCCCTATGGTTTTAGCATCAGTTGGATTTTGTTTTCCTACCATATTACCTGTACTAACTCTTCACTTTTAGGCTTCCCTGTAGTATAGAACAATTTTGGAAAACCTGTTGCTGCATTTTCTAATGGCAAACGTGAGGGGCATTAAGCAAACAGGACATCAGTGGGAGTGAAAAGTGTCTTTCTCACACCAGCTTTACTGTATTTACAGTTTTAATTGAGCAGGATATTGTGGTAGATACTGGTCTGGTTGTCATTTCAAACAATATATTGACCTATATAGCAAGGCTAGATTCTGAATGCTCCTTAGAATGGCAAATTATTTTGTCATGACTTTGTGCAATGGAGATGGTGTTCTCAGTTTAAAGCTGCAAATACTACGTTACTTTTTTACATAGTGCAATTTTTTTTCATGTCAGTCATGACCATCGAAGGGCAAGCACTTCCAAACCTGGCGTGGCAATGAGGCTGCTGTTCCAGCACAGTGACGTTTTAATTGCATGCTTTACAGCAGTGAATCATGTAGACATATCCTCTTTGTACAAATAACTTCCATTGTTTACCTGTGCATGTAGGTGATGAGTATTTGGCCATGTAATACCTAGCTATGGACAGGCTTTTCTAGTCATGTGGACTCAAAGATAATGATAATAGAATGTCTGGCTTGTCCTCAGATTGTTATAACTATGCTCACACTGTCATGATTTCCTGATGTATTTCCTCTGTTGTTCCTAGATACTTATATTCTTCTGAATAAGTTCTGTTGCAGTTGCTTTAAGTAAAATAATAATACAAGTAGAATTATTAACGATGCTTGCTCATATGTGTTACTGTAATTTTAGAAATAATTTTTGTAGATCTGTACTAAGCGTTTGTACTCTTTTGGTTGCTGTCTTATTTAGTTATTCATTTACTCTTTTACTTCATGACTTAAAGGTTTAAAGATTTTTTCTTGAGTTGCAATGAATCTTGAAGGATGATTGTATTTGGGGCCTGTTTGTACTTAGCATTCATTTGGAATCTTGTTTTTTATTATTGTTTTTAAAAACAGTAATAGTGGTATTGCTACACACTTGTCATGTTTTCAATTTTTTTTAGTTTGGAGATGCTGGACAAAGTTGAGCCACCTACAATTCCTGAGGGCTATGCAATGTCAGTGGCATTTCACTGTTTGCTGGATCTTGTCCGTGGTATCACTACCATGATCGAAGGAGAGTTGGGAGAGGCAGAAACTGTCATTCAAGCCACAACAGAGGCAGCTTCATTACCAGCACAGTCTTCAGAGCAAGATTTGCAGTCTGTTTCTGACCAATCAGAGAAAGAACTAGGTATTTGAAAATGCAAACACTGTGAAATACAACAGTTTTACCTAAAGCAGATTTTAAAATGTCATGCTTTTTGCTTAAATTTATTGCTTCTTATTTACATATAGAAACTTTCTGTGAAGTGTGATTTTTTTTTTTTTTTTAATGGAACAGCAATTCCATTTAAAACAATACTTGACTTAGCATTAAGCCAAAAGCAGAACACCAAGATCTAAGGTCACAAGAGACAGAAATGGAGTTATGACCACGTTGAAAGAAAAATATATTTCTAGTAGCAAGATAAAAGGAATGTTTTAATGGATAAACTTTTAGTAAGAATGCATTATATAGAGAAGGGCGTCTTTAGAAGCAGAACTGGTGTGAAGTGAGGATTGTCTCTGTGGAACATATGAGTCTGTACAGGGGTGTCTGTATGTACAGAAAGACTTGTGTTTGAGCAGTGAGTTTTGCCCCGGGAAGCCAAGGCAGTACAGCTGAAGTGTGAGCCAAGGCACTGGGGGTGCCAAATGCACAGGGGGAAGCAGAGGGCTTCATCCCCGGCACTGCCTCGGGAGAGGGGCGCTCTCCGTGGTGCTGTGGGGCAGGGAGGGAGGTGCACAGGGCTGGGCAGCTGCCCCCTTGGCTGGGCCAGTACCTTTTTCCTCTTAAATAAAAGAAACAAAAACGTTACGGAGAATTATAGATCCCACGGGAGAGGATTTTTACTTCACTGCAAAATTTCAGTGAGTTTCTTATCCCATAATTTTGCATTTCTGAATGTTTATTTTTACAGAAAAAGATCAAAAATGGTTATATATACCATAGTAAGTTGGATTTTGATGGGGTTTTTAATGCTATTTAGAAGAGGCATTACCAGGTGAATTTTTTTTTACCTCAGAAATGTTACCTTAAATGCAAGCTGTTTGAATAATACTGGTGTAAGTGTGTTTCTGTGTGCACATATATGTGGCTGTGTAAACATGCATACAGAAACATACTTCAAAAAAAGCCATAGTAAGCATTTTGTTTATGATACAGTTGAAAGTTATTAAGGAAACCACTGTGCTTCTGCTATTAAAAAGTTTATATATTTCTTTTAAGTCAGCAGAGCTGTCTGGGAAGAAATGGTGAACGCTTGTTGGTGTGGTCTTCTGGCTGCTCTATCCCTTCTACTTGATGCAAGGTATCTGGTCTTTCATTTCTCTTGATTTTTCTAAGTTGATATTCCAAGTTATATTTTGAACTGACTTTTGATACTAGACAAATTGACAATTGTGAGCATAAGTGCTGTTCATGGCATCTGAGCAGTCAGGTTTGTGGCTTAGACTGAGTGGCTAAATGACACAGAAGTCTAACATAAACCTTTAATGTATTTCAATACAGAACAGTTAACTGCATTTTCAAAGAGTTGCATTTAAACTATTTCAATTATCTTTATTTCTTTTTACTTTGCTTGCATGTTGAAGTGATTCCAGGTCCTGATTACTGCAAGTAAGAGACTAAGTAATGTCTTGGTACTTGTTAGTACTATCTTATCTTTAAAGTGGAAAAGCTTTTTACGAGGAAATGACTGTGGTAAATTAATTGACTCTTTCAAAGGGCCTTTTGTAATCAAACACCATTTTCTGAAATTAGTTTAAAATTTCTTCTCATAATATCATTACCAAGTCACTGAAAAGTAAAGTTCAATTTTGTAGGAAGTGGTTCTGAAGACCTTTGTTGATTGGTTATGCTCGTTCTTCAATATTTATACTGTTAATGGGTTTAAAGTATATGTTCTTATGGCTTTCAGTTTTGGTTAGCTGCCTGCCTCTGTGTTCTGTATTAATTCTTGCTGAACAATGTGTACTCTTTCAGCACTGATGAAGCTGCCACTGAAAATATTCTAAAAGCAGAATTGACCATGGCTGCACTTTGTGGAAGACTGGGCCTTGTAACATCAAGAGATGCCTTTATCACTGCCATTTGCAAAGGATCTTTGCCTCCTCACTATGCCCTTACTGTATTAAACAGCACAACTGCAGCTTTGTCCAGCAAATGTAAATATATACATTTTTCTTAATTCTGTTTCTTTGTTTTGTCCTCTAAACCCAATTTTTTTTGGGATGTGGTTCCAAAGATATGCAACTGTAGTATTTGACTATATTAAAGTAAGTTAGAATCCTCAGACAGCACCTAGATCACCTGCTTTCCAGAACTGGTTAGTTTTGCAGCATTTGCTTACTGTCCGGTTTATCTCGGCTGTTTGAGGGGCCTGGAAGGCCCGGGGAGGCCTTGGGGCAGCCCGCGTATCGAAGGACGAGAAGAGGCTTCAGTTCTTCTTTCTGGTTTTATGTTTATTAATTGTTTATCTAAAAGATGTTCTTTCAGCC